TTTGCAACTTGTTCATGCTGCTGCGGATACAACTAAATTACTATATTAGGTTCCATCATGAAACAAACTAATATGTTTAAAATGGGAGATATTCTGAGCTGGGTGTCCCAAACATTCCTAAATAGCTCTGAGATTGGAATTTGAATGACTCAGACGTTCAGAACTGAACTTTCTTTTCTCTCCGTCTGACACATCACTTACTTCTGCCTTAAGGATTTCATTATTATATTGTTTATTAAAGGCATAGAGATTTGCAGAGGCAGAATTTTTTATAACAATTCTAGATGACAGAAGGTAAACTAAATAGATGCATATTTATGTAATTTGTATCTTACAATTACACAAATTGCATATTTGTATATTCCTAAGTTGCTGGATGCGTTTTTAGTGCATTGGGGAAATATGTGGTTTTTCAGCATCTGATCTGTTGGACTTTCTTTTCCAGCTGTACTGGAATCTCTTGAGTGCAGCTATAAAGAGTTTGGAAAAAGGATATTCATTCCTTTTGGATGTACTCAGAGGCAATAAAAAATTTTGTTCAAGTTTAGCAACAAGAAACTTGTTGCTTCAAAACTGCAGAAACCCATGAATTATCTTTATTTTTTTAATTAATTTATTTTAAGAGAGAGAGAGTGAGCAGGGGAAGGGCAGAGAGAGAGGGAGAGAGGGAACCCCCAGATTCTGCACTATAAGCACAGAGCCTGACGCTGGGCTCTATTTCATGAACTGTGAGATCATGATCTGAGCCAAAATCAAGAGTCGGATGCTTTAACTGACTGAGCCACCCAGGAGCCCCTGAATTATCTTTAAAATGAATAATTCAGATGATTTTTTTTTCTATCTGAAAACGTGGATTCCAAAGAAATATTTTTATATTTTTTTAAAATGAAAACTGTATTAATCAGTCACATACTTCTGGAAAGATGTCTTATCAAAAACATTCTATTAATTTGCCACTGAGAAAATGTATGTGTATTCATGATAAAAGGGAAGCATCAACCCATGGAAAGAGAAAGAAAAATGATAGCTGCACAAAAGCAAAATGTTGACAGAAAAGGGTATGCCCGAATTATTTTTCCTATTTTGGTACAAAAGACATATTAAATTTCATTGCTTTGATGCACTTGTTTTTTCACCCATGAAGCTTTTGTTGGGCCCCATTCATGCTCAACTGTGCTACATGCCATAGATATGATATAATGTAAAGTCTCTACACTTGAGATGCTCACAACCAAGTAATAAGGAAAAACATGTTGAGACACAAGTATTCTAATATGAATTTATATTAATCCCATAGGAGCATGATTGATTTTAATTAGTCAATTGTTTTAGGGTTATCAAATGAGTGCAATGAAAACAAGGTTTTAGGTTGGGCGAAATGGTACATCAAACCATATGATCATCTCAATTGATGCAGAAAAAAATTTTTTTTGGCCAAAATTAAACATTTTTTTGTGATAAAAATTTAACAAGTTTAGAAGGGAACTTCCTCAATATGAGAAGCCCACTTATAAACAACCCACAACTAACATCATATTCAATGGTCCAAGACTGAAAGCTCTTCCCCTCAAACCATGGACAAGACGGGGGAGCCTGGGTTCCTGTGGGTTAAGCATCCAACTTTGGCTCAGGTCATGATCTCAGGGTTTGTGGGTTTGAGCCCCGCATCAGGCTCTGTGCTGATAGCTCAGAGTCTGGAGCCTGCTTTGGATTCTATGTCTCCCTCTATCTCTCTGCATCTCCCTGCTCACACTCTATCTCTGTCTCTCAAAAATAAACAAACATTAAAACAATTAAAAAAAACCAAAAACAAAAAACCACCAGGGACAAGATGAGGATGTCTGTTTTCACCACTGGTATTCATTATAGTACTAGAAGTGAGAACCAAATTAAGCAAAAAAGAAAAAGAAAAAAAAATATCCAAATTGGAAGGAAAAAGTAAAATTACCTCTGTTCACAGATGACATAATCTTATAGCTAGGAAACTCTAAATAATCCACTAAAAAAACCCCAAAAACCTGTTAGAGCCAATAAGTGAATTGAAACAAATTTTCAGGATCCAGAATCAACATGCAAAAAATCAGTTGTGGTTTTATTCACTATCAGTGGACATCCAAGAAGAAATTGGATTGGAAAAAACTTCATTTACAGTAGCAAACAAGGGAATAAAATACAGTGCTTAGGAACAGATTCAACAAAAGAATCCTACAACTTATACACTGAAAACTACAAAACACTGCTGAGAGAAATTAAAAGCCTACATTAATGAAAAAACATCCCTTGTGCTTGGATTGGAAGGAAGACTTAATATAGTTAAGATGACAATATTATCAAAGCAATTTACAGATTCCATGCAATCCCCATCAAAATTCCAATGATGTTTATTGCAGAAATGGAAGAAACCATCCTAAAATTTATATGGACTCTTAAGAGACACTGAATAGCCAAAACAGTCTTGAAAAAGAATACCAGAGAAGAAGATTTCACATGTACTGATTTCAAAACTAACTACAAAGCACAATAATGAGACATTGTGGTACCAGCATAAGGAGACCTACAGATCAGTGGAATAGCATTTAGTGTCTAGGAATAAACCCTCAAATTTATGGTGAACTGATTTTTGACAGGAGTGCTGAAACTGTTCAATGGGGAAAGAGCAGTCTTTTCAATAATTGTGCTGGAAAAACTGGATATCCACATGTAGAAGAATGAAGCCTTACTTCACACCATAAATAAGAAAATTCAAAATGGGTTAAAGACCTAAACACAAGACCTAAGACCACAGAACACTTAGAAGAAAACAGAGGGACAAATACACATGACCTTAGATTTGGCAATGCTTTCTTAAATATGACAACAAAAGTATAAACAACAAAAGAAAAAACAGACACATTTGACTACATTAAAATCCAAAAGTTTTATGCACCAAAGAACACTATTAAGAGACTGAAAAGGCAACCCACAGAATGGAAGAAAATATTTGCAACTCACATATCTGATAAGATTTTTCAGATCCAGAATATATCAATAACTCTTCCAATTCAATAAAATAGTCAACCCAATTAAAACAAAAAAGGTCTTTGAATAGACATTTCTCCAAAGATGATGCACATATGGCCAATAAGCACTTGAAAAGATGCTCAACCTCATCAGGCAAATGAAAATCCAAAGTGAAATGAGTCGCTGCTTCACACCTACTTGCATGGTTATCATTTTTAGAAACTAGAACATAACAAGGCATGGAAAATTTGGAACCCTTGTACCTTGCTCGTGGAAATGTAAAGTTCTGTAACTGCTATGCAAACCATCTGGCAGTTCTTCAAAAAGTTAGAATTACCATGTGACCCAGCCATTCTGCTTCTAGGTATCGACCCCAAAGAATTGAAAACGGGTGTCCAAACAGATATTTGTATGCCAACACTCATAGTGGCATTATTCACAGTAACCAAAAAGTGGAAACAACCCAAGTGTCCATCAGCAGATGAATGAATAAACATACATCTAATGTATATGCATATAACGGTATAATATTCAGTCTTAAACAGAATGAAATTCTGATACATGCTACAGTATAGGTGAATCTTCAAAACGATGTGTGGCAAAATAAGCCAGACACAGAAGAACAAATATTTTGATTCCATTTATATGAAATGTCTAGAATAAGCAAATTCATTGACACAGTACATTAGAGGCCAGCTACCAGGGACTGGAAGGAGCAAATGGGGCGGGGGGAGGGGGCGGTTATTGCTTAATGGATCTGGAGTTTCTGTTTGGGGTGATGAGAAACTATACAACATTGTAAATGTAAATTATGCCACTGAATGGTACAATTAGCCATGGCTAAAATAGCAAATTTTATGATATATATACGCACACACACACGTTATAACAGGGGGGGAAAAACAAGGTACAGAAGAGAGTACATAAGTTATCTTTGATGTTTATGTTTGCATAAACACTTGAAAGGCATAAGAAACTAGCATAAGTGGCTACTTACGGTTAACATGAATATTCAGCTCATACACACTAATTCAGTTCCGACTGTTTAAAATCTAGAAATACTCTGTCCTGATTGGTAAATGGCCGTTCCCCAATTCCTGCATTTCTTCTACCTCTGTCCTCATCCTGGGATACCCGGTTGTCTGATCATTCAGCAAGTAAAGAGTTAACCCCTGGCAGGCAAGGGTCTGGCTGGACAGCATAGAATTAAGTGGGATGGGATGGGATCAGGGTGGTAGGAAAACTGCATACTAAAACCTTTTAACATCATTTTGATTTTTTAAACCGTGTAACTATATTACCTATTTACTATAATGAAATAGAAGAACTAAAACAAAATTAAAGAGTACACCAGCTATAAAAGACAATTAAGAGAATTTGAATAAAACAAATGTTACTTGTAGACCACAGCAGCACAAAGAACAAGAGAGTTCAGAGATGCGAAAGTTGTGTAGAGGATAAAATATGGGGGTTGGGGGGGGGGGAGGCATAGAAGAAGATGAGATTAGATAGGTAAATGGGGACCAGATATGAAGGAACCTCTATGTGGCATTGGTTAATTTGAGCTATTTCTACAACACTGATAAATCAGTTACTACTTTTTTAATCAAGGAAATAAGTTGAACAGGTCTCTGTGTTAGAAAAATAATTCTGCCAACTGTGCAGACAATGGACTGGAGAGGAGGGAAGCCGGGAGTGAGAGGCTGACATGACGAGGATAGTGGTAATGAGATGGAAATGAGAAGTCATGGTCAGAAGATACTAAAGAATGATCCAGTGGTCTTGCTGAAAAGTAGTTAGCTTGGGGGTTGTTAAAAGAGGAGGAACAAATAATGACTCTAACATTTCTAGCTTAGTTGACTAAAGGGGTGGATTATGACCTTTAATGGGGAATTCTAAATGGGAAATTATTCTGAATTTGATTGTGAAATGTGAATATATTGAGATGGCAAAGAAAGAATGACATAATGTGGATTTTAAATAAAAAGTTACTATGAAAATGGTAATGATTTGTTTTCCATTTTATTTAGGAATGACTAACAGGAAATAGGCTAAATTCTACAGGATACAACAGTATCTTTATACATAAATGAAGGTCTAAACTCCAAAGAGTGTTATTGGAACATGATACAAAAACTGTTTTGTGCTGATTTTTACAAATTTCTTTTTGACTGTGACAGCTTAGGTGTTAGACATGTAGAAAAATGATGTCCAGATGCTGTCGGTAATTCTAGGATTTATGTTTTTATAGGGAAATAACAGATAAAATTTCTTGGAATGCATCTAACACTTTTACAACAAATGTATTTTCAGATTACCATGGTATTCTCCAGGGGGTGATACTGTTTCATCAGAATGGAAATTAGGAGGAACAAGAAAACTTTCATAGAATCTTTATGAACAAAATGGCTTTTTAGAGCATTCTTTCCTCAATTCTGTATCTACCTCCAGCTTACCCCCTCGCCCCCATCTCCCTGCACTTAACCAGGAATATAGTGTATTCAAAGTCTTCATTTCCTTAACTTACATCTACTCCTCAATCCACTTAGTCTGGTCTGCCCAATTTCTGTAAGTGAAGTGACTATTGCTAAGGTCAACAGAATCCAACACATAACTTAGTTATCTCAAAGGAACTGTCTGTTGAGTTAGCATGCTTAGACAACCCATCCTTTTTGGAATATTCTTTCTTTGATCTCTGTAACATGACACATTCCTGGTTTCCTATGATCATTTCTTCTCAACCTCCTTTGCTGGCTTATTCTCTCCCACCCAGCCGATAGTTGCTGAATTTCTCAGGAGTTGCTCATAGCCCCTCCTCTCTCTCACTCTACTTTCTTCTAGAAAAGCTCACCGTATCTCTTATTTCAATTCCCAACAAGATGTCAATGATTCCACCACCACCACCCCTCCAACTTTATTTCAAATCTCTAGGCTCAACCTTATCTTTAGACTGCACCCACAAATAACCGTTTCTCAACCTCTCAATGTGGATGTCTCAAATATACCTTAAACTTTGTCCAGATAATCACACTCTTAATCACTACCATCAAACAAGATCTTTTCCAATATTCCTATCTTAATGATGTTATCTTTCATCCAAATGCACAAGTCAGAAACTTAGTAACATTCTTAACATTTACCCTTTATTAAATCCCATATCCATTACTTCACCAAAGGCTGTTATTACCTCCTAACCATCTCTTACATTTCTGTACTTCTTTCTGTTGGTATGGTCAAAACCCTAAACTACCAACATCTCTCTCCTGGATTGTGAAAACTTTGCAAGTATACCAACTACAATGTTGCCCTCTATAATGTGAAAAAATGTACTGGATGGAAAGTTTTTAGTCGTCACCTCTGTGAAGAAAACATAGTAAAGTCTTAAATTGGTTTCCAAAGTGCCTGTAAAAATGATGATTATTCAAATACACAACAGAAACATTTATCCACATTACACATTATCATTAATAAATACTGTGTCCTGTTTGGATAGCGTAAGTGGTTTGGACAGGTGGTGGAGAAAAGGTAAATGACAAACACTTTTTTCATTCTGCCACACCTGTTCTGTATCTGACCTTTCAAAACCAGAGTTTCTGATCTGACTTTTCTCATTCAGTCTTTTCCAGATTATTTTGGGATCATCTGAAAGCCTGGGGAGGCCCTGATGTGCATCTCCAATAAGGGTAAGAAAGTCTCTGGTATAAAGATGTTCATCCATTTTCTCTTGGAGTAGAAGTGACTCCAGTAAAGTCTTCTTTTGTCTCAGAAAGGCCGATTGAGCCAGTTCAGCTCTTTTTCTGTTGCAACTGGGGCACTGAGAAGAAATGTGTTGATCAGCTGTTGCCACCTGTTTTGGTGCTGTCCTTATGTTTTTTAAGTAGATTCTGTTCAAAAGTTCATCAGGCACAGTACAGTTTAAGGCATCTATCTCTGAAGCCTCTGCAACCAATCTAAGCTGTGGCTTTTTTTGTCTGCTGCTCTTTTTCTCCTTCAAGTTTGCTCTGCGATGGATCAGGCTTATCTTAACGGCGCAAAAAGACTGCTGGGCTTTCAGTTCTTCATCGGATACCCGAGTGCTTTGTGTCTGAAGTTTAGCGTCTGGTTGGTACTGTCCAGAGTTAGTTTCTTTGCCCTTGAGATAGTTGATCCATTTTCTACTGAACTTCTCCTCATTATTTTTGTAGTCTGGAAGCTCAGATTGTTTGTCTCCGTCTTCCAAGGGTGTGGTCGGCTTTCCACTCGCAGGTTTGTTCCCAGAGGCCTGGGGCCAGGGCTGCAGTCCTCTGGAGGAGCTGAATGAACCGGAACTCTGTATCTCATCAGGAATGGTGTCCTCAGAAAGGTCTGCCATAGCCCTCAAGTCCGTTTGGGCCAGTTCCCCTGGCTCTTGTGAATTCCTCTGTGCAGATGGCTATCCCTTTGCATCATACCTGGGTGTTCATCGGCTTTGTTCCGGTCAAGACTGGCTCAGGAACTAGCGAGCCCCGAGCGCAACGGGTATCAGTCTCAGGGCTGTCGCTCAGCAAGGCTCCCCTTCCGGGCTACGCCTTCCCGCTGCCTTGGCAACGGGGGCGGCAGCGTCATGCGGTCATGCGCAGTGGGTGCGGGCAGGCGCCGAGCCCCTCCTCTTCCCCCGCCTTCCCCAGCTTCGCCTCTGCGCTGCGCACACAAGCGCAGGTCTCGCTGGGTGTGCAAGGCTCGGACCGTGTTTGCTTTCCAGCGGCTCTTCTGTAGTGCTGTTTTAAATATAAAATCTGACAATCCTTTAGAAAAGCTAACAAACTCCTTTTCCTCAGAGGTCAAATATTTGTCTGCGGCCGACGGGGGATAGGTGGCCTCTGAACTAATTCAGGAATGTTGCCCTACCCAAATTAAAAAAAAAAAAAAAAAAAAAAAAAATGATGGCCGAAAAGCGCAAGCAAAAACACGTCTGCAGATCTTCTAGCCAGGAGATCACCTCTTTGTCAACCATGTCTTAGAGTAAATATGGAACTGCTGAAACCATCCTTACGAGACTGCCTGCACATCTTGCACAACTTTCTGTGCTCCAGTATTGGGACGTCAGTCTGTGCTCCGGCTTTGCGAAACGCAGGTTCTCAGGTCTTTGGTTCAAGCAGTTCTCTGGCTGGCATGTCAGCACCCCTTCTTTTTATGTGATTTATTATTGTTACCCCTTCAAATCCCATTTCCTCAGGAAGGGCTTCATACCCACCCCTGCCCCAGACTCTTTACAGCCTTTCTTTCATGGTTTGCAGCTATTTGATGACGTCCCCCCACACCACCCCACTAAATTAAAACCTCCCTGACGCATTAGAAGGCGTTAGATACATCTGTTAAGTAAATGCATTGAATGACTCTGAAAACAGAAGTAAATGCAACGTCACAAAGTAGATTCTGTGAAATAAATACTACCAGGTCAAGGAACTCCCATCTTTATCTTTCTGAACCACCCCCACCCCAACCCATTTACTCTTTTACACGACATATCCTTTTAGGATAGCCTCTTTTATAAATTTTTTTTCAATGTTTATTTATTTTTTGGGCGACAGAGAGAGACAGAGCATGAACGGGGGAGGGGCAGAGAGAGAGGGAGACACAGAATCGGAAACAGGCTCCAGGCTCTGAGCCATCAGCCCAGAGCCCCACGCGGGGCTCGAACTCACGGACCGCGAGATCGTGACCTGGCTGAAGTCGGACGCTTAACCGACTGCGCCACCCAGGCGCCCCTAGGATAGCCTCTTTTAAAACATGGCAGAATTTTATTAATAACTATTCTCTCGAATCAGAATACGTTGACTCTAAAGATAGACTTTTTTCTAGGTCTTAATAAATGTCTGAGTCTAGGTCTTATAAGTATGGGAGATAATTTCAAGAGAATGGGCTCCCTGGTCAGTCCCGGGTGTGTTATTCAAGTCTAACCAGGATATACTTAATGTTATTCCAAAAATGTCCACCTTGGCAAAGAGTCAAAAGTCTGAAATGTTCAAAAAGCATCTCTCAAATATGAGCCAGCTTCATATTAATGATAAAGAGATTGCAACTTCATTTATTCAACCCAGATAATATTTTATCATATGTTGGTCTTTATATAATTTGTGGATAGCTCCAAGTGATTTCCAGCATCTCAATAGCTCAAGATTTCATTTTTTATGTTTATTTTAAAAACCTTCCTTATCGTCTGAATATTTATACATAATTCATTATAACGCTTTTTAACTGAAAACATTGATCAAAGGAGCTATACTTTATTTTTTTTTTCAGCGTTTATTTATTTTTGGGACAGAGAGAGAGCATGAACGGGGGAGGAGCAGAGAGAGAGGGAGACACAGAATCGGAAACAGGCTCCAGGCTCTGAGCCATCAGCCCAGAGCCTGATGCGGGGCTCGAACTCACGGACCGCGAGATCGTAACCTGGCTGAAGTCGGACGCTTAACCGACTGCGCCACCCAGGCACCCCAAGGAGCTATACTTTAAATAAACTATATTCATGTCTCCTAATGTGCTAAATATTTTTTAATAACCTTATCCTAGAAGCAGATACTTTTGGGGAGAATATCCTGTAATTGACTTTTCTTTTTTTTTTTTTTTTTTTTTTTTTTTTTTTTTTTTTTTTAAA